AACCGCCCAAGATAGCAGGAACCACAGTATGGCTTAATTTTGCATTTGGTTTGAAAGGAGAAAATTGGGTCTAAGTTGGTATTTTGAATCTATATAAAAGCAACCATCTAGGAATGAAAGCTGATCTAGCTGAAGTGAACTGGCATACTAGGTCAGTGAATAGATCAATGGATATGAAATGGCAGACATTTATATGGATATTTCAGAATACTTAGAATAAGTAAATTTCTAGTATTAATAAAAATTCTGAAGCGAGGATCTACCATCAGTGGTTAACTAAAGAAGTTAGGGAAGGCACCAAACTTGATGAAGAAGCATAGAACCGCACAAATTAGAGTGGCAGGTCAGATTATTGGTCAATATAAAGAATATGAGAGAATAACTAAATAATTACAAGCAAGAAGAATTAGAGTACAAGAAAAATGTGGCTAAGAATGTTTTAAAAAAAGGATAACAAGAGCTTCTAAAGATATGTAAAAAGGAAAGGAGTAAGCAAAGTGAGTATTCATCCTCTCAAAAGTGAGAATGGAGAGTTAAGAGTAAATAAATAGAAAATGGCGGGTGATATGATCAAATATTTCATTCCTGTTTTCACTGTAGAGGATACTAAAAATTCTAGTAATGGCTTTCAATCAGGAGGTGGAAGGATGATGCTCCCAACAGATGTTATTGCTGGACATGTTAGATCCCAGACAGGATTGTGGCTTGATGGATCATATTTTGATTTATTTTAGATAACAGTGGTTTCTCAATGAAACATAAGCAATGCTTCAGACTATTAACAAAAGAAATTAAGATAAAGCAGAATAAACAAAACCAACACTTATGTTAGATATTCAATGTTTTTTAAAACACGCAGTAAAAGTATAATGAAACAATCCTTTATAACTTGAAAAGAAACGAACAACATTAATATAGTACTCAATACACACTCCTGGAAATACAAAATAAAACACTTCTACAGTACTCATATCAGAATCTCTATAACTTGTACCTAATATTTATATAAATCCCATTGTTTACACTACAGAAAGGAAAGAAGGAATTACAATCATGAGGGAAGTAGTGCTAAGCAATCTGAAGGAGCTGCAGACTGAAAAGATTCCAAGTCCAGATAGATTTCATCCTAGACTCTTTAATGAGGTAGCGTTTGATGTAGTCTACTTGGACTTCAGCAAGGCTTTTGATAAGGTCCTGCATGGGACCTCCTTTAATTCACATGGGATATGGGCATTCATTGCTCGTCCTGAGTTGGCCTTGAGAAGTTGGTAGTGAGCTGCCTTCTTGAACTGCTGCTGTCCATGTGCAGTAGATCCATAATTCTGTTAAAGATGAAATACCATGATTTTGATCCAGTGGCAGTAAAGGAACAGTGATGCATTTCCAAGTTAGGATGGTGAATTTCTTGGAGGAGAAGTTGCTGGTGTTGTTATTCCCATATGTCTACTGCCCTTGTCCTTCTAGATGGAAGTGGTCGTGGGTTTGGAAGGTGCTGTCTAAGGAGCTTTGGTGATTTCCGCAGTGCATTTTGTAAATAGTACACACTGCTGCTACTAAGCATCGGTAGTGGAGGGAATGGATGCTTGTGAATGTGGTGCCAATCGATCAGGCTGCTTTGTCCTAGATGGTATCAAGCTTCTTGAGTGTTGTTGGAGCTGTCCCCATCCAGGCAAGTAGGGAGTATTCCATCTCACTCCTGATTTGTGCCTTGTAGATGGTGGACAGACTTTGGGGAGTCAGGAGATGAGTTACTTGCTGCAGTATTCCTGGCTTCTGACCTGCTCTTCCAGCCACTGTATTTATGTGGCTAGTCCACTTCAGTTTCTGGTCAAGGATAACCTCTCAGGATGTTGATAGTGGGGGATTCAATGATGATAACACCACTGAATGTCAAGAGTGGTGGTTAAATTGTCTCTTATTAGAGATGGTCATTGCCTGGAATTTGTGTGACATGAATGTTACTTGCCAGTTGTCAGCTCAAATATGGATATTGTCCAGATGTTGTTACATTTGAAGATGGACTGCTGCAGTATCCGAGGAGTCAAGAATGGTGCTGAACATTGTGCAATAATTGGTGAGTATCCCCACTTCTGACCTCATGACAGAGGGATTGATGAAGCAGGTGAAGATGATTGGGCCCTACACTACCCTAAGGAACTCCTGCAGAGATGTCCTGGAGCTGAGATGACTGACCTCCAACAACCACAAACATCTTCCTATATGGTCTGAGAAGAAAGTTTGATTCAAGATTTCTTATAATTTTTCGCAATGCATACATGTTAATAATGTTTTTTTTATCAATAGCACCTTCCTATGTGAAATCATGTTGTGAAGTCGCATTTCTGTTTAACAATTTTCTAGAGAAGTGAATTTTAAAGATCAGTATACTGATGCAAAACAAGAAAGATACGTTGAAAATTAATTTTGAAGACTACCTTTAAAAAGACTTGCACTAATGTTATGCTTTACTAAACTTCAGAATGTCTGTATGGGATTTACAATCAATGAAGTACTTTTGAAATGTGATCACTGTTTTGAAGTAGAAAATGTGGTAACCAATTTGCATACAGCAAGCTCCCACAAATGGCTTTGTGATAATGACACGGTTGTTTTATGTTGTTGGGTAAATATTGGCAAAAGTATCAGAGAAACTTCCCTATTCCTCCTCAAAATAGTGCCGTTGAATATTTTAAATCCATCTGAGAGGACAACCACGGGTTTAACTTGACATCTCATTCAAAAGGTGGGACCACTGATAGTTCAGCAAAGCATCAGTACTATTTTTGAGTACAAGCTTTACTTTTATCTAATACCACAGCCACAGCTGCCTCTATATCTGACCTGCTGCGCAGTCATCTCTTCAAAGGAGCCCTATACTTAATCTGAATATTCAACCCCAGCTATTCGAGTTTAGCCTAAATACAAGTGAGAAATGGAATAAAAGATTTCTTCTTCACTGGTGCTCGAGGACAAATGAAACTGTCAACTATTATTTTGGTTTAATACACGTAGTTGTGTACTACCTTCTGAAACTGAATGCTTCTCGATTGTGTGGTGTGTGAAAGATGTAGAGCATTTTGGGCAATTATGTTAATAAATAATCCTCTTTGCTTAAACCCATGACAGCCTGCTGCTGGTATATTTAAATTGACCACACACCAGTGGAGTTTTATAACACACGTCTTTTGAAAAATTAAACCATATTGAATTATAGACAGAAGTAAAGGGAATTGAAGGTTTCATTGTCTCTCTTCCCAGGTCAATAACAGTAATGCAATAAAGTACCCACTTTTTTTTAAACTTCAGGTGCACTGAGAATATGGTCAGGGCCCTCTTTGGGCCATAGCAGACCTAATGATGATCCTGCTTCCATAATATTGGTACATTGGAAATTTCAAGATCTTAATTCTATTACAATGAAGGAAGGGTGACATATGCCGCAGTAAGAATGGTGTTTGACTTGGAGGGAAACCTGAATATCATGGTGCTCCTGTGCACCTATTACTGTTGTCCTTCCAGGTGCTGCAGGCTATAGGTTTGGAGGGTTCTGCCAAAGTAACCTTGGAGACTTGCTTCAGTACAATCTGTAGATAACATACACTGCAGATATGCAGCTAAGGAAGTGGATGTTAAAATGATGGATTGGATGTTGACCAAGAGGGACTCCTTTGTCATTTTTGGGGCTTTATGAATGTGTTACAGATGCATTTAACCAGACAAACCTAATTAATCACATTAATTGTTTTGGCCATTTCAGTGGTGGAAAAGCTTTGGAGAATCAGGTAGTGAACCACTTGCCACAGAACATTTATCTTATAGTAGCTGTAGTATTTACATGGTGGGTGCAGTTGAGTTTTTTTCCTAGTCAGTAGTAACCCACAGGATGTTGACAGTATGGGATTTAATGATGGCAATATAATTGAATGTATGCCAAATGGAGATGGTTAAACACTCTTGGATAAAGTCTTTGCCTGGTATTGGTGTGAAGTGAATGTTATTTGCCACTTAGCAACCCATATCTAGATATTGTGCAGGTTTTACTGCTTATGGGCATGGACTGCTTCAGTATCTGCAGAATTGTGGAACTGTGGAACATCATGTATCCGACCAGTAATGTCAACATGATAGTATCAAAACAGCAGTTGCCAATTATAGGATATGCCATTCATGCATTATGACAAATGTCACTTTCTGCATCCTTGCTGTTTAATTAAAATAGCAACTTCTTATCTCCTGTGCTGACTTCTATGGATGAAAATTTTTGCTCAAAAACAGTACAGAATCATAGAATATATTTTCTTCTTACTATATTAGTATTTTTGCAAAGATGATTTAAGGTTAATTTTATTGATAAAATGCTGAGGGTAGGCACCCAATAGTTGAAATCAGTTTGCTTTCTGAACATGTATAGAGTGATGACAAGCAGAATTTGCATAGATTATTTTTACTTCAACAAGAAATATGTGTTGTCACCTTTGGACATTATACCAGGAAGCTCTGCTATAGTAAATGCTTTGAACGTTCCGTTGGTGAGGATTCCTTAAATCAATGAACAAAGCTTTGGAATAGATCCTTTGTTATTATATGACCTATTAAAGCTATTAAACACAAAAAAGAACAGTAATATCATTGTGAGACATGCTGCATATTTTTTCTGTAAACTAAATCTGCCTTTCATGAGTCAGGTTAATGTTATGCAGATAAGGGAGCATGGATGGATTTGCAATGTAGAGAAAAGAAGTGTCAGTCACTGAAAGCTAAACCAGTTGATATGATGTTACCACATCAATTCTGGGCCAGAAAGCGCTCAGAGCACAATACACAGTATCAGAAACAGTATTTGTTAACACAAACGTGTACTGGATAGAACAGGGAGTAAATAGAGCACACTTTGTGCTTTGTGAGTTTAGTTGAAACACCCAAAAGGTTAATTTTTGTAAACAAAATCTGATTGCCACTGAAACCTGTAGCTCATATTACTTTTTCGTTGCAATTTACAGGAAGAATGCTTTCTTAATCTGGAGGCACCGATCAGTAGAGTCTGTGGATATGACACACCTTTCCCGCACATCTTTGAACCCTTCTACATACCAGATAAATGGAAGTGCTTTGATGCTGTGCGGAAAATGATAAATTATTAAGTGTAACGGGTAAGCAACCTCAATACCAAAAGGATATGTTAACACCATGAATACAGATTAAATCTGCAAGTCAGTTACAAGGCATTCACATAACCAGAAATGTGGGAAATGTTGTTACGGTGACATTTGAGTATTTCAGCATTAACCACCAAGGCTACCTTTAACTTACTCCCTTTTATTTGTTTTAAGTAATGTGTTCTGTTTCAATTTAGCAGTCAAAATTACATCATTTGAGAAAAAGGTAGGAACATGAAGACTAGCTTGAATTTCAATCTGATGGTCTTGCTTACTGCCAAAAGCACATAATGTTCAGAGAAAAAAGGAGTATCATTTGTGCTGTCATTGCTGTAGGATTTCAAAAAATTCTTAGTATATTGCTGGATTTACTAAAACCCGTGTACACTTGAATATAAACTTAATGCATCTAATGAATTGACACAATTTCAACTGGTGAGCTAACTAAATATTGATTTAGGGAAAAGCTGCGGCTTTATATTTAACTTGCAACATTGAGAACATTTCAAAAGTGCTTAATTCATTGGCTATAGAGAACACTGACAGATTACTATATAAATTCAAGTCTGGTTTTTCTTTGCATATAATCAATTCGCTTAAGTATTAATCACCAAAACAGAATTGAGAATATGATGCAAATAGGAACAATAGCAGTGTTGTATTAATTTATTTTGACAATTGGCAAAGTGATAATAAGTAACTAAATCAAATAAGGTCCTGAACGGTCTTAACAAGAAGTATGTGGAAAGGATATTTCCTCTTGTGGTTGAGTTCAGAACGAAGGAGCATGACTTAAAAATTAGTGAACATCCTTTTTAGGACAGAAACGATTGCTGTATGATTCTATTACTCTGTACTTTGCAAGTGCAGCTGTGCCGTCAAGGTTTTGGCTGAATTATAGTCTAGTAATTCCCTCAAACCACTCTCACCTAAAACTCATGCTTTTGAGAAGTTTTATGGTTGTATGAGCAAGAGGACCTTAAGACTGATGGGGATTATGTGACGTTGGAACATTGCTTCAAAAGGTGTTGAAGATAAGGTCATGAAATAATTTTGAGAGAGAGACAGATTCTTGTTAAGCAAGGGAATTAAAGGTGGAATGTTAAATTCAAACATGAACAGATAAGACTTGATCTTGATTGGCAGATCTGGCTTGAGGAGCCAAAGTGCCTGCATAGCCTAATTAGTATATTAATACATAAATAGACATTTTCTTGCTTTATCTCATAATGTAGCATACAAGTTTTCATATAGAGGTTGCATTTTCCATAGTTTAGATGGTTTAGTGCTCACCATTGCAGTGATGCAGTGTTGCATCTATCCATATTTTAATGGCACTATTTCAACCTACAGAGTGTCAATGCACTGTCCTCAACTCCAGAATTCTTGTTTTACTTGTTATCAGGGCACATAACTGTTAGATCTGTTCCACTACTTTCAAATCAACAACAACTTGAATTTGTATAGCACTTTTAAAACAGAAAAAGTCATCTTCAGCACTTCACGGAGGAATACATCTGATAAAATACATTAGTCTTAAGGTCCTTTTGCTCAAAAAACCACAAAATTTCTCAAAGGCATGAGTTTTAGGTGAGAGCAGTTTGAGGGAATTACTAGACTACAATTCAGACAAAACCTTTACGGCACAGCTGCACTTGCAAAGTATAGAGTAACAGGATCATACAGAAATGAAGAGGCCTTCGGCCCATCGAATCTGCACTGACCTATCTACATTTTTCCATTCTCCAGCACTTGGCCCATTGCCTCGAATATTATAACATACCAAGTGCTCATCCATGTACTTTTTAAAGGTTGTGATGTTTCCCACCTCTCCTGCCCTCCCAGGCAGTGCATTCCAGGTGCCCACCACCCTCTCAGTGAAAATCCTTCCCTCAGCTCCCCTCTAAATCTTCTGCCTTTCACCTTAAAATTATGTCCCCTTGTTATTGACCCTTCAACTAAGAGGAATAGATGCTTTCTATCCATGCTGTCCATGCCCCTCATAATCTTATACACTCATAGCATCAGCTCCTCCCTTAGCTTTCTCTGCTCTAAAGAAAACAACCTGAACCCATCCAGTTTGTCTTCAAAGTTAATATGCTCCAACTGAGGCAATATCCTGGTGAATCTCCTCTGCATCCCCTCCAGTACAATCACATCCTTCTAATAGTGTAATGACCAGAACTGCACACAGTGCTTCAGCTGTGGCCTAACAAAAGCTTTATACAGCTTCAACATAACCGCTCTGCTGTTATTATCTATGCCATAGCTGATAAGGGCATGCATCCCCTATGTCATCTTAATTACCCTATTACCCTGTTCTGATGCCTTCAGGGATATGTGGATAAGCACCCAAAGATACCCCTGTTCCTCTGAGCTTCCTGGTGTCCTGCCATTCATTAAGTACTCCCTTTTCTCCTTACTTCTTCCGAAGTGCATCACGTTACACTTTACTGGGGTAAATTTAATCTGCCATTCATCTGCCCATCTGACTAATCCTTCTAAATCTTCCTGTAACCTAAAACCTTCTTCCTCACACGTGGCCACCAAACTATTCTTCCCGTCATCTACAAACTTATTTATCTTCTCCCCCTCCCCTGACATTCTCATCTATATCATTTATATTTTTTTTGATACAAAATGAACAATAAGGGACAGCACTGATCCCTGCAGTACGCCACTGGACGCTGGTCTCCAGTCACACAAACCACCTTCTGCCACTTAGCCTGTTTTGAATCCATCTTGCTAAATTACCCTGGGTCCATTATGTTTTACCTTATTTATCAGTCTCCTTTGAAGGACCATGTCAAGGGCTTTGCTGAAAGGACCATGTCAAGGGCTTTGTTGGCTTGCCGAGCTGGTTCGTTGTTCCACAGACATTTCATTACCCTGCTGGATAACATCATCAGTGCAGCCTCCAATGAAGCGCTGTGGTGTTTTCGCGCCTGTTATTTAAACTCCGGTGTCCGTTGAGCTGGGTTACCTCACTTACGGTTTTCTTTGGCAATGGAGTGTATATAGGGTCTAGCTCTATTTGTTTATTGATAGCTTTCTTCCTCGAGGACCAGGCTTCTAGGAATTCCCATGCTTGTCTCTGCTTCGCCTGTCCCAGGATCCTGGTGTTGTCCCAATTGAACTGGTGGTTTTTCTTATCCATTTGGATGGAGATGAGTGAGTATTGGTCATGTCTTTTTGTTGCCAGTTGATGTTCGTGCACTCTTGTGGCTAATTTCCTTCCTGTCTGTCCCATGTAATGTTTGTCGCAGTCCTTGCAGGGAATCTTGTATATGACATTGGTCCTGTCCATAGTGGGTAGTGGGTCTTTGGTTCGGGTTAGCAGTTGGCATAGGGTTGATGTGAGTTTGTGTGCTACTCTGATGCCAAGTGTTCGTAGGAGTCTTGTGGTTAACCTGAACAAACAGCTCCCATTCCTGGACATCATGGTGGAACGCAGGACCAATGAGGAATTCCTAACAAAGGTACATAGGAAAGCCACACACACTGACCAAGTACTGAATTTCAATAGCAACCACCCTAACACACACAAAAAAAGTTGCGTGAGAACACTATTTGAATGGGCAACAACACACTACAGCAACACAGAACTATGCCAAGAAGAAGAAAAGTACCTCCTCCAAGTATTCAAAGACAACGGATATCCGAAAGACTGGGTCACAAGATGCCTATTACACGAACAACACCAGGAAGATACTACACTCCCCAACATGCTTATCACGCTACCTTACATCAAGAACACATCTGAACTAACCACAAGACTCCTACAACAACACCAGGATCCTGGGACAGGCGAAGCAGAAACAAGCACGGAAAGTCCTAGAAGCCTGGTTCTCCACAAGAAAGCCATTAATAAACAAATAGAGCTAGACGCTATATACACTCCATTGTAAAGAAAGACCGGAAGTGAGGTAATCCAGCTCAACGGACACTGGAGTTTAAATGACAGGCGGGAAAACACAACAGTGCTTCATCGGAGGCTGCACTGATGATGTTACCCAGCAGGGTAATGAAACGTCTGCGGAACAACGAACCAGCTCAGCGAGCAAACCCGCCACAGCATCCACAACCCGAGCTACAAATTTAGTCTAAAACCTTAGAGCATTGCTGAAATCTCTATAAACTACCCTCATTGACACACCTGATCACCTCCTTTGTATCTGTTTAATCAAGTTTGTTAGGTATGACCTCCATCTGACAAAGCCATACTGACTATCCACAATAAAACCTTGTCCCTCTAAGTGGAGATTAATTCTCTCCTTCAGAATATTTTCCAATAGCTTCCCTACCACTGAAGTAAGATGGTTCCCTACCACTGATCTGCAAATCTCTGGTTTATCCTTAACACCCTTTTGAAAAGTCAAACCACTTAGCTGTGCTCCAGTCCTCTGGTATCTCCCTGGTAGCCAACTCTGTTATCCAGCCCAGAATATTCCTAGACATCCAAGGTTCTCTGGGCTCGTTGCTCCCACATGTCACCCTAAAAGGAACATATTGGGCCTGTACTCTCCTCATTTCCTTTTTGAACACCCACACCCACACCCTGCTATTCTGCTATAGATTTTCCCACAAGTAGCTGTTCCCATTCTACTTTGGCCAGATCCTGCTTTATTTTAGTAAAATCTGCCTTGGCTCAATACAAAACAATTTTTTGGAGGCCATTTAGTTCCTTTTCCATAACAAACTTAAATCATGCTGTGATGTGGTTGCTATCACTAAAACTTTCTTCCACATCAACCGTTTGTCTGCCTTCGTTCTTTTTAAGTTAATCTTACTCTTAAAACATTCCGCTTACCAAATTAGAAGGCTCTACGACCAGTTTCTTTGTGTATCATGTTTGCTGGGTGGTGTCATAATCTTAAAAAGGGCTTTGCAATGAGACTGAGATAACAAGGTGTAGAGCTGGTGAACATAGCACGCCAAGCAGCATCAGAGGAGCAGGAAAACTGAAGCTTCGGGTCTAGACCCTTCTGTAGGCTGCTAAATGAGTTGATAGCAATGGGATAAGACTGAAATATGGCTGGATATGAGAAAGCCAATTCAAAACCATCATGAAGCATATTACTCTCTCAGTAGACTCTACAAAATCTATTCTTCCACAAATGCAACATTGGAGAGCAGTAATCACAGACTGCACTGGATATGTCATAGCTTCATGCTTAATTTGGCCCACTTGTCAGTTGCTGGGACTTCTGTAAGCTTACACTGATCAACTCTTGCTGTGCTTGTCTATGCTGAAGATACTTCCCACTACTCAAGCAGAAAGAGACAAGATCTGCAAGTACTTAAATGGATATGTTATAATCTCGTTAAACCTGTTGAAATGTATGGAAATGTAGGCCCAATTGTTTCACAAGTCTGATTAGGAATGTAGTTCCAACATACATACTCTGCCCTTCAACACCACTATCAGCCACTTTCTCACCATCACCATCACCTTCCAGTATCAAAATGCTAAATAAAATATGATTCCCTTTCCTAAATCCCACATTTGGAGAAGAAGAATGACTGAGCATAGCTCCAAAAGCTTCTGTTTTCAAATAAATTTGTTGGACTATGACTTGGTGTCATGTGATTTTTGACCTTGTCCAACCCAGTCCAACACCAGCACCTCCACATCAATCTCTTTCCCCATTGCACAGGGCCTTAGACCACAATCTGCTCCAACTCTTTCCATGCTTATTCCCATGATTGTGGGATAGTTTAGTACCTATGTCTGATATACTATGAAGTGATGCCATTCATCTGCAAGGACATAATTTAAATAAATTGGACAACAATTGGCTACACTTACTTGCAATCTCTTTATCCATCTATATTACTTATAAACCACCTGCTACCAAACTATCTCTGATATTCACCTTGAATACATGTGAGATAGAACTATGATTATAAACTTCAGAAGCATTATGACTTATTGGTAGCAGGCATTTTGAAAAAAATTAAATTTATCAAGTTAAAGCTTTTTTTTCTCTTTCCCATTATTTTGAGGCTTTGTTTGATCACACTTCCTTTCTCAGTGTCTTGGAGTTTTAAAAATTGTTTAACTTGTACAATATTTTTCTGTCCTTGGCATTTGTCATAAGATTTGAGTGTGATACATTTTAGATGTTGCCAAGATTTTTTCACCTTGTATTAAGTTTATTTGGAAAGAAGATAAACAATGTATTACTGGTACCCACTTAATTTAAGAAATTATGTTCAGATGTTGTTAAAATTATCTGAAGCTATGTCATATGCTTTTTCCTTTTTAGAGATTAAAGACTGGAAAGGGCTTTTCAGAGGCCTGTCACATTTTCTCCAAACCAATTCTCAAAACCCAAAAGTTGAGCTCTCTGGGACAGCAGAGACGATCCAAAATGTGTCACAGTTGCAGCCTTCCTGTATCCTATACTTTTCTATTTAATCTAAAAGGGCAGAGGTTGAATATTAGACTAAGATTGTATCAAGGCAACAAAATGTTTTCATCCTACTTATACAATTATTTATCTGTATTTCACATTACAGTATCGGTATTGAGTCTTCAAAATTGACGGTAGTTTTCACATAAAAGGTGTACATCCAATATATATTAATAGCCTTTCCAATATTGTAGCAATGAAAGTGATTTTTATTGCACGTACACAAATAAAAAAAAACTTACATTGTTCCTGAAATAAAGTGTGATTCTGTTTTCCTCAGTCTCTTAAAAATGATGTTGGTGTAGCTGTAAAGTCAAGTTTTTCGTGAAGGCTGAAAAATGTTATAAATATCACATAAATGCCTTACGTATTGTGTAAAGTGGAAATTGGCTGATGGACAATAAAACTGAATTTGTGATGCCTGTTACATTAAAGATAACATTGCAAATATAGCATTGATTCTAATTAAAATACCAAATCCAAGTGGACAGTTCTCTGGTTTAAATCCCAGCATAACCTCAAATGTACACTACAGGTTAGCTGCTAATTAAAACCTTTTTATGTCACTGGCAAGGTCAGCATTTGTTACTTATTGTAGATTGCCTTTTAGGAGGTCGTGTGAGCTATATTCATAAAACACTGAGGCACGCTTTGTGCAGGTACATCCACAGAGCTGTTAGGAAAGGATTTCCAGCTTTTAACTCCAGTGACAATGAAAGAATTATGATGAATTTTGAAATTGAATAGCATGTGATTTGAAAAGGAACATCTAGATGGTGGTGTTCCCATCTGATGTTTTCCTTCTTGGTGGTTGAGATCATAGATTTAGAAAGTGCTTTTGAAGTAGGCTTGGCAAGTTGCTGCACTGCATCTTATAATACACACTGCTGCTATTGGGCACCATTGGTGGAAGGCATTAATGGAGTGCCAGTTGTGCCTCTTATTGTTTTGGTTGGTATTGAGTTTCTTCAATGTTGTTGGAGCTGTACTGAACAAATCAAGCATAGAGTATTCTGTTGTACTCTTAGCTTCTGTCTTGCAGATGGTGGACAAACTTTGAGATGTCTGCTGATGACTTACTGAGACCTGATTTGTAGACTTCGAATTCATACAGCTGGTCCATGGTAATTCCAGCATGTTGGTGGTTGAAATTCTGTGATAGCGCTGTAATTGAATGTCAAGAAACCATGGTACAACCATAAGACGTAGTAGCAGTGTAGGCCATTCAGCCCATCGAGTCTGTTCCACCATTCATATGAGATCATGGCTGATCTGATAGTTGTCAACTCCACTGTCCTATTTTTTCCCCATAACCCTTGGTTCTCTTACTGATTAAAAATTTATCGCAGCCATGAATATAACTAATGACTCAGCCTCGACAACTCTCTGTAGGAAAGAATCCCAAAGCTTTACAATCATCTGAGAGAAGACATTCCTTTTCATTTCAATCTGAAATGAGCGACCCCTTACTCAGCGATTATACCCTCTGGTCCTAGACTGTGCCACAATGGGAAAACAAAGTATCCACATCTGTTCTGTAAAGTCCTGTATGTTTCAATAAGGTCGCTTCTCATTTTTCTAAATTCCAATGAGAAGGCCTAATCTACTCAACCTCCCCTCATAAGACAGTCCCCCAATAACTGGGATCAACCTCGTGAATCTTCTCTTAACTGCCTCCAAAGCCAGGATGTTTTAGATAAAGAGCTCAAAGCTGTTCATGACATTACAGCTGTCTGACTGCTGCCTTGTACAGTTTAGTAAAACCTCCTTATTTGTATATTCCATTTCCTTAGAAATAAAGGTCAGTGGTTAGGTTCTCTTGTGTTGGAGATGGTTGTTGTCTGGCACTTGTAAGATGTGAATGTCACTTGCCATTTCCAAATCCAAATTCAACCAAAATGAGGGTGGCATTGGTTTTCTCTGCTTGCTCTTACCTGTAACTGCCCTATTGAAAATGACTTTGGTTAGTTTCAGTTCTGTTCTTAATTGGCATAAATTAGTAAGTATAAATGATGTCAAACAATATAGGCACTATCACGCAAAAGACTCATTGTTGAGATGGCTTAAAATTGATCTTAATCTTTATGAAATGTGTCTTGCACTTGGTGTTACAGCAAAAATGTTTTGGCTCTCCAATGCTCAGGCAGATGAACATAAAACTTCACCCTAAAAATTAAATGCTGATCCTGATTATATTGTGTTTTTTACTTTTTAAAAATATATTTAAGCACTTTAAATACATTGTCAACCTTTTATTCCACCTGTGGGATGTGGGCGTCGCTGGCTGGACCAGCATTTATTGCTCGTCCCTAGTTCCCTTGAGAAGGTGCTGCTGAGTTGCCTTCTTGATCCGCTGCAGTCCATGTCCTGTAAGTTGACTCACAATGCACTTAGGGAGGGAATTCCAGGATTTTGACCTAGCAACAATGAAGGAATGGCAATATATCTCCAAGTCAGGATGTTGAGTGATATCATCTTGCAGGTGGTTATATTCCCATGTATCTACTGACCTTGTCCTTCTCAGTGGAAGTGGTCATGAGTTTGGATTGATTGATTGATTGTATTGTTGTCACATGTACCAAGATACAGTGAAAAGTGTTGTTTTGCGTGCTATACAGGCAGATCGTACCATATAAAGTGCATCAGGGTAGCAGAATAGAGTGCAGAATACAGTGTTATAGCTGCAGAAAAGGTACAGAGAGAGAGAGAGATCAGAATTAACAGCTGAGAGATCTGTCCAAAAGTCTGATAACAGTGGGGAAGAAGCTGTCCTTGAATTGGTTTGTACGTGTATTCAAAGTTTTATATCTTCTACCAAAAAAGAGTGTATAACCAGGATGGGAGGGGTGTTCGATTATATTGGTTGCTTTCCCAAGGCAATGGGAAGTAGATGGAATTAATGGATGGAAGGCTGATTTGCATGATGGACTGGGCTGCATTCCCGACTCTCTGTAATTTCTTATGGCCTTGGGAAAAGCAGTTGCCATGCCACACTGTCTTGTATCCAGGTAGAATGCTTTCTACGGTGCATCTATAAAAATCGGTAGGAACCCTTGTAGACATACCAAATTTCCTTGGCCTCCTGAGGAAGTAGAGATGTTGCTGTGATTTCTTGACTGTCATGTCGACATGGGTGGACCAGGACAGATTGTTGGTGATAGTCACTCTGCTGTCTAAGGATCTTGTGTGAATTTCTGCAATGTATCTTGTAGGTAGTACACATACTGCTGCTGAATATGGGTGGTGGAGGGAGTGGATGCTCATTTGACTCATTACCAGATTTTGAGCTGCACTTTTGAAGAAATCTCACAAAGTCAGCAACCTGATCAATAGTTTATAGAAATAAAAATTGCATATTTTTCCATCTTTAATCATTCACAGAATTTTTTCAAATTTCAGAGACTCACCAAAGTCTGAATATTGTGGAGTAGGAGAGCTAGTTGTTTTCCTGTCTGCTTTTGCTTCATATTTTAACCATTAACTTCACTGCTTTTGGCACTGTGAATGCCAAAAGAAGTTTGGAGAGAAGAGGGAGATGCAGTGTAAGGAGAAGCTGCTATGGGCAATAAGGGATCCAATGCTGGAAGTAAGAAAGCAATTAAAGCAATTGAGGCCAAATGTTTTCTTTAAAATAATGTCTTAGGCTTTTATTTCTTCTACTGGCAACAGGTAATTTGTATATTTCAGGGAACTGGTTAAGAAGACAGAGCATATGGTGGGCCAGTGGTGGTCTTGTGGCACATTGGTAGTGTCCCTAACTCTAGGCCAGGAGGCTTGGATTCCTGTCCCACCCGCATCATCATTCATCATTAGTGGTCCCTTGCAGACGACGATAACATTTCTTCCACTCTCAGGGCATGTCCGTAGGTGGCTGTACAGACTGATGCAGCTTCCATAGGGTCTATTACACTTGGGTCAGAAGTTGGTTGCGGGAAGGTGTGGTTGGGGTGTTGGTGTGGCAGCACGCACATTTTGCTGTTTTTGCCAAGCTTCCGCTTTTTCCCGATGGCAAGCCTCAAGGTGCTTGATGCCTTCCCGGATGTTCCTCTTCCACTTTGGACAGTCTTGGGCCAGTGATTCCCAGGTGTCTGTGGGAATGCCGCAGTTTGCCATTGAGGCCTTGAGGGTGAGGGTATCACTGAAGCACTTCCTCTGTTCACCTGGGGCTCACCTGCCATTTCGAAGTTGCGCGTAGAGCACCTGTTTGGGGAGTCTTGCGTCAGTCACGTGGACGACATGTCTAGCCCATCATAGCTGATCAAGGGTGGTCAGTGCCTCGATCTGGGAATATTGGCCTGGTCAAAGAAGCTGGTGTTGGTGCGTCTTTCTTCCCAGCAAGTTTGCATGATCGTGTGCAGGCAGCATTGGTACTGCTGCACTGCCTTGAGGTGTCTGCTGTAGACAGTCCATGTCTTAGAGGCATGAAGATGGGTGGGAATAACCACACTTTTATAAACCATGAGCTTGGTGTCAAATCTGATGGTGTTGTTCTCGAACACCCTTTTCCTCAGGCAGCTGAAGGCTGTGCTAGCACACTGAAGGTGGTCCCGGATCTCCTCTTCAACAGCTGTTTTGGTCAACGCGGCACTCCCGAGGTATTGAAAGTTGTCAGTGTTCTCTAAGGCCTCCCCGTGGACCTTGATGATTGGGGTTTGTTCCACAATGCTGGGGCTAGTTGGTGGAGGACTGTCGCCTTACGGATTTTCAGGGTGAGACCCATGCTCTCATATACCTCTGTAAAGGTGCTGACAACAGTCTGGAGTACATTGCCTGAGATCCCACCTACACTAGAGGTGTGGCATAACTTGTTGAATTTAAAGTTTTGGCAAAGATTTGTAACTTGGGTTGTGGATGTAGTTGTTGACTTGCTCGCCGAGCTAGCTTGTTCTCGTTCAGGCGTTTTGTCACCGTGCTAGGTGACATCATCAGTGAGGCCTCCAACGAAGCAATGTTATTCTACTCCACTTGAAATTTATACTTTCTGGTCCGTTAAGGGGAGTAGAATCATTTCCAGTTTTTCCATGAACAAACTCTGTAATGGCCACCAGGAAAGGGATCACTGACCCTTCGATGATTGTTGTGCCTTCATCCACAAGTTAGATTGTCACAATATATTTCTGTTGAACTTTTTGAGAAAGGGAGTGATGTGTTGAGAGCACCTCAAGAATTGGAATATTAGTTGCCACTAGGGAGTATGTGGTCCAACCAGAGTCCCATCCAGTTTGATCGCAAGTTCCTCTGCGTTGTA